GCAGACGATTGCCAAGTTGTGTAACGTTAAAACAAGTGTTGCGAACAAGTGTTGCGAAAGTTTATTGCGGAGATATCACAGTGGAAGCAGCAAAAGTTGGGGATAGGTTTGCGATAATAAGTTGACTTTGAGAAAGCCTTACATCGTTGGAAGCAGAGTAAAGAGAGGAGAATTTATCAACTCAAAGACTGAACCATGGGATGAAATAAGAACCTATTTCTCAGCAAATCTTGTATGCCTGAATTATTTAAATTTTTGCAGCATTTGTTTATAAAAAATAAACCTATTATCAATGTATATTGTTGTTGTTTGTGTTATTATCATATGCAATTGAATAAGTAGACCATTTCAGAATTCGAAATTTGGGCCTCTCTAAATGCAGAATGGGACTCATACTTTTCTGATCAGTGAGTCCCTGGGACTCGCAGGGCTCAAACTGTAAAATTATCACTGTGTAGCGTACATTTAATATACCCTGAAGTGGTTGCCAGCCAATCGCAGCGCATACATTGCCGAACAACCATCCTCGCTCACGCTCACACCGAGGGATAATTTAGAGCAGGGGTCCCCAACCGCCGGTCCGCGGACCGGTACGGTCCGCAGGGCATTTGGTACCAGGCCGCACTTGCCTCAAGTCAGTTTTATTTATTTCGGAATACGAAATAAGTTTTATTTTGAAAAATTACCGGATTCTCCGTGACATCCGTCTGTGTCACACTTGACACACGTCAAGCCACGCTTCTCCGTCACGTGACTGATTACGCTAAAAACAAAACGCAGGAGCTCACAAAATGAGTAAAAAAAACTGCTGGAGATCGCAAATGACGGCGGTCTTAAAAGTACGTTCAAGACAACTGGATTAATTAAAGTTATGGCTGAATACTCTGAGATCACCACAATAGCACTGTTGCTATTTCCGACATCCTACCTGTGTGAGGCGGGGGGTTTCTGCAGCAACGGCGACTAAAGCAAAATTACGAAGTAGACTGGACATAAACCACACATCTCCTCTTACCCTGAGATGGGACCGTCTGGTTGCAGAAAATCAAGCTCGGGGCTGTGGTGAGTCGTCATTTTCATGCACTTTGAATTTGCGTTGTATTGTATTTTGAAGGCATTAAACATTACCATAGGGATCAGAGTGTTGCGGCCAGATTAGACGCTCCTTGTGTTTATTATTATATTTCGAAAACACCACAGTTTTCATGCAGCTCATACCATATTATTTTGTTGTATTATTTCCGCCACACCTTAAATGCCGGTCCCTGAAAATATTGTCTGACATAAACCGGTCCGTGGGGCAAAAATGGTTGGGGACCCCTGATTTAGAGTCTTCCATTACAAGCAGAAAGGGAGTTCACCATCTGCAACTTATGATTTTCTAAATTATGGATTCTGGGATAGGCTCCAGCACGCCCGTGACCCTCGTGAGGATAAAGCGGTTCAACATCATGGACGGTTAAAGCAAACTTGCCTGATTTGAGAGTGGTGCATACTTCCTCTCCGTTGAACTGGTCACCACAGGGTCAACGGCAGACAAATATGCATCTCTGCCGGCTGACTTGGAACCAAAAGCTGGAGCCGGCTTTGTCGGGGCTTTCTCTTTTGAAATGTTGACATGGCTTAAGTCATCTTCCCAATTTCCAATGGTGGCAGCAAGCATAGCCAGTTTTTCTCTCGGCCTTACTGGAATTTCTGAGGGCGTGATGGAGCCTGAAGTTGGTGTGACATCAACATTTGTTCTCAGCCGAGACAGAGGTGCCGAGTCTTCAACATTCAAGTCTGGAAAAGTGAAACACACTCGTTAGAGAATGACAATGAGAAAGAAATAGACATAGATTTAGATTTAGATGTATGTGTGTGTATGCAGTTGATGAGGCATGGTAGGGACAGGGAGGGGTCAGAGTGGGCCTCCTCCGCTGTGTGCTGAGGTCACAGCTTGAGACCTGATGGGAGCCACATTGAATGTCGTCAATGTGAGGGAGTCATGTAAGATCCTGTGAGCGGAGTGGACGCAACAGCTTCTTGTTTACTTTCAAACTTAGCTTGTCGCAGACGTGTGCACATTTTGAGCATGATGTCTCTGATCCAATGGTGAAAGGACACTTTGATTCTCGCCTCTTTCATCTAGAACTGCTTCAAATAAGGCATAAGCAGGAATAGTGGTTGCGATTGCATGACTGTCCATGTCTTATGTTGTGTTGTGTTCTACGACCGTTTTTTTGTTATTTTGTATTAACTGTTCCTTTACATCTGCAGCTGTTGTGAACGCGCTATATAAATAAAGGTGGATTGCATTTTATTGTATTTAACACCTTTAATCGGATCTTAAATGTTTTTCCTAATTTTAATCAATGTTGAGTGCTGGTAAAAATGAATAAATATATGCTCACCAGGGCCTTCCCAGCATTTCCTCTGCTCGGCAAGCTTTTGTAGACGTGACTTCATACGAGTAGCAGGAGGAGCGGAAACTTCCATTGGGTCTTCCGTGCTCTTCAGTACAACGGGGTGAACAGTAACGATTTCATCGAGAATGGACGTCTCCATTTTGGGAGGAGCAGTCACAGTAATATTTTCTGACATAGGCTGGACAGTTTTCAATGCTACAGGCTGAGCCTGGGCAAATAGTTGGGCTTCTGTAACTCCTGCGGAAGACGTAGGTCGGGCACATGCAGGGACAATTGGGGGCTTCTTGTCTGTTGGGGGATCTGGGAGAACAGGGATTGTAGGTTGTGTTTGTGTGTTTGTATTCTTTTCCTCTGCAGGCTCAACATTTTCTGATGAGCACCTGCGCTTGGACGGAGAAGGTTTTGAGGATCTCTGAGGAACTGGGAGAAAGTAAAACATAAATAAGCTATGATGTGGTCGTCAATTTGCTTTATGTGACAATATCATACCTTCAGCAATATTTGTATTCATGATCTCATCATTTTTGTCAGCCAGAGGCTCTCTAGGTCTTTTCTCCATCTTTCGCTCTGCTGCATTAGGTCTTCCTGCCATCTTTTTCTGTAGGTTTTCTCTCCGAGCCCGTGTCCGCTCCAGCAGTTTCTGATTGGATTCAAACATTTTAAAATGGTCACCATGCAACAATTTCTTTACATTTTCCAAAAAGACAAATTCAACACAAATGACATGTGACAGTACCAAACAGTTGACATGTTACACTGCGGATAATTTTTCACAAAAGTAAATATAATCCATCGATAACTAGGGATGGGTACCGAGGCTCGGTACAAAACTGGGCCCTGCGCTGATTTTTTTTTAAATTGCGGGATCAACAAGTTAACTTAACTCTGTACCCCCGTGTACTTTATGAGCCCATCATCACTCCATTGAATCAACAATCTTTGAGAACTCACTGTAATTTGAGTACTACAGAAAGCACTTGGCCCCAAACAGCCATTGACATGGTCTGGATTGATTTACAGCACAGCACCTTAACTGTACAAGCTATGACACATTTCTGTAGAGCACAAAAATGCCGTCACCACTCCTCCACGGAAAAACATTTAGCATGAGTCCACTGTGGTTAAGTCATGACACTGATGGATTTGAAATGGCAGAGAAAAAAAGTATGATTAAGGAGATGAGTAGGCCATGATTGCCTTCAATTGTTTTCAAAGACGGGATATAGATTTCTTGTGCTAAGAAATGCCATCATCTTGAGTCGTGCGCTTTGTAATTTTAATTGAACAGCATTCCTTTCCCCTACTGTCATCTGATGCAAAATTCCTATTAGGCAGTGAGTTGCCAGTCACGTTAAAATAACGACTGCCTTCTGGTATGTTGTCTCTTTCATCACTGATTTAACCTATAAAATAAAGACACGAATGGACATTCTACAGTTTTGTGTCTTTCTTTGATCAAAAAACAGACGACGGTTTGGATATATTTTAGTAAACGATCGAAGATTGTGGATTAAAGTAGTAGTCAATTCTAAAATGACGTTCAATTAGAAAAACTCGGCATACAATCTCCTTCGAAAAATGACATTCAAATTTTAAGTCACAAAATAGCTGTATCGAAACTCAAATGCTTTGTATATTTTGATTTGTCAGTAAATGAAAAGACAAACGAGGCGTTCTCGCTTGTTTCATTATACGTCCAGTACTTTTCAAACCTGCAATGTTCGTGTGCCATATTGGCAAAGTAAATAATATAAATAAACACTTTCCTACCAGTCCGTGAGTAATTCATAATACAAACACGTCAATATTTGTTGTATGCCACAATCGCAGCCATTTCATCGCCACTGTAAATTTGCTAACACGTGTATCAAGGAAAATATGTTTCTACTCACCTCCGTAAAAGGATCCATTGTGGCGAATAATCTGCCGGCTAATGGATTTCTAAAAGCTCAAGGACACTAAACTGTCCAAAAAGATAAGTCAAAAGGAAGCGAATCTACCGACTAAGCTTCTCCCCTTCCTGACTCCGACCGCTGTATAAAACAACTTCTGTTCAAATTCGAATTTTAGCGCCGACCTTCTGCGCAGACTCCACCGAAGGTCTTTCGACCAATCACAGGGACGGACACTCTTTTCAAGCAGAATCAGCCAATTAAAAGTAAGAGTCTTTGAAAAAAAAAAAAGTCTGGTGGGAGAAGTTGGCGTGGATTTACGTACAGTTTACATGCTCTTGTGTTTTGGCAGGGGTTTAGGCACCCCCCCAAAAAAAAACAATGCACCGCGGCCCATCCCCATGACGTCACGTCTCTGCTCTGCAGTGTGCATCAATGTCCAGTAACAAGTGTCAATGTCAATTTTACGTGTATCCAAACACATCGTTAGCACTGTTATTGCCTATCGTTTGTTTGAGCACATTACTGTATTCGGTTTTGTATGACTTTCCTTCACGTACTTGTTGCCCTGAGTTGATCGTTAAGTTAGCTGCAGTCCAGACATAATGTGACTTTATGAAAAAAAAAAAAAAGCTGTGTTGTATTTTGTTTTATTGGTTTCAAGTAAGGAAGCGGCAAATACCGTATTAGCTGTCTAAATGTTGACATAACAGCGTTTGAAAAGTCCGTGTTTTCTACGTTTTGCCATTTGGTCCCATTTTTGGCAATTTTAACAATTTATGTTCACATACTTGTTCAATTTGCAACCGGGTGGTTAGTTGGGGCATGATGGTTTCCCATTACTCTGAACGCACCACTACTGTCTCCGCCCAACAGTGCTCGTGCACATCATTTGTGCTGCGATTGGCTGGCAACCAGTTCAGGGTGTCCCCCGCCTACTGGCCGAAGATAGCTGGGATTGGTTCCAGCACGCCCGCGACCCTCATGAGGATTAGCACATTAGAAAATAGATGGATGGATGGACATCACTTGTGCACGCCATAGCGTTGGTTTCCTTGCTATTATTTGGGTGAAATTATTAACATTTTGGTTTGTTGAGTAAACCTTGAGCCATCCCTGCATTTGAGGGTATGAATTCAAATGTTATTTTAAAATACAGTGTTAGTGTGTGTGTGTGTGTGTGTGTGTGTGGGTATATATATATATATATATATATATATGTATTTTTTTTTTTGGTGGGGGGGGGGTTCTATCTGGAAAATTCAATAATTTTGTTGCCACTACCTGTGCTTGTTAATCCTTGTTACCAGATGTATCTCTAGCATCAAAAGAACAAAGGGGGCCTTGCCCTCCGCTCGGTTACGAAGTGGTGTTGTCGGCAGGATTTTGACTAAGGAAGCAAAGGAAGGCTTTATTTCTAATTAGTGTTGTTGTTTTTTTTTTTTTTAAGTGTAACTGGAGAGCCAATAGATGATTATAGGTAACAATTGAGAACTTAGTTCAACAGCAGCTTGCACACTGTGGGACACTCCTCGAGACCTATGGCGTAAGGTGTACACTTCCTTAATTCTTGCCATGGTGGTGGAACTGCAGCAGTTACGACACAGGGTCCAAGAGTTGGAGGTGGCTCTACGATATGTGTGTCTCCACCATCCCTCGTCTTGGGCTGTCCACCTACCCTGGGTGGAGTACGCGCACAACACCCTCGTCTCGTCAGCCACAGGTCGGTCAACGTTCATGTTTGCTTATGGTCACCAACCTCCGATGTTCCCAATTCCCATCTCAGAGGGGCAGGTAGAACACTCAACCTGAGACAGGCCCATCGTATGTGGAGGAAGACAAGGCCGCACCGCGTGTAGAAACTGACAGATTGCAGAACGTCGCCCAGCACCAAACTATAAGGTGGAGCAGAAGGTGTGGCTGTCGACGAGGGATCAGCATCTGGCCGGTACTTCAAGCAAGGTAGGACCATGCTTCACGGGACTTTTCAAGGTGGAATGGATCATCCACCCCGTCTCCATCAAGCTCCAGCTGCTACCAACCATGAAGGTCCATCGCGTCTTCCACGTTTCCCTGTTCAAACCTGTGGCATCCAGTCTCCTGGCTCCTCCTGCCACCCCGCCTCCTCCTCCGCGTGTGATCGACGGCGACCCTGTGTACACGGTGAGGGAGAGCTTGGACTCTGGGCGCAGGGGTAGGGATGTCAGTATTTGGTCGACTGGGAGGGCTACGGACCTGAGGAGCAACAGTTGTTCCCCCGTTGCTGGATCTTGGAGCCGTGTCCCTTCTCCGTACCTTCCACTCATCCCATCCGTCGAAACCAGGTAGTCCGCCAGGAGACGTCCATGATCCTGTTCTTGTGTGTCTCCAGGAGGTGGCAGACGAGTGCCTTTCCTTCAGTGTGCACACCTGCTGTCAGTTAGCATTAGCCATGTATTTAAGGACTGACAAATTGCCTGCAGTTTGTCGGATTATTGTTGACCTTGTTGCTGTGTGATCGTTTTCAAGACCTCTTGCTCTTGTCATAGTCGTTCTTTGTTCACTTTGTACCCCATTTTTGTAATTACAGTCCTTGTTTTGTCATTTGACTTTGTTTTACGTGTGAATTGGATTCTTGACATGTCGTTGGTTTTCTCGGTTTGACTATTTTCTTGCCTTTTGCAAGCACTTTTTGTTATTGTATTGTTTTTCTTTCCAGGTTCTTATTGACCAGCGATTTCTGTTCATACTTTGACGGTGTGCTTTTGTTTTTGTGTGTATCCAAACACATCGTGAGCACTGTATTGCCTATCGTATTGGCCCGTATTGAAATGCATTGAAATAAGACTGAGTCGTCTTATATTCTGGGTCTAGACATTATACCCATTCACGACGCGAGATGGCGCCAGATATCATTGAAGGGAATGCTGAACTTGACTCCCCGGGCCAACGTGAACCCCTGCCACGAAGAATAAAAATTAAAATAGGTGTAGCACGAAGAAGAAAAATAAAAAAAAAATAGAGGTAAGAAGGAAAAGAGAAGAAAATAATAGAAGAGATAACAGAAAATGGAGAAACCTAGTGACAATCTGGAGAAAAGTTTGGTCGAAGATCGGCCAGGTTAACCGGCAACTGAGGAGAAGTTATGATGTAATTTACATTTCAAAAACCAGAAGCCATTCATTTACGAATGTGATTGCACTTTAGATTTGAATGAGACAAAATCACATGCTTTCTTTCAAATATATTGTTATAATCATTTGTTTCAGATGTACTGTAGTTATTTTCTGTATAAAAACTAATTTGGTGTTCAAAAAGTATCTTTTCAAACTTCATTTTTGAAAAAGAGGGGGTCGTCATATCATCAGGGCTGTCTTATATTTGGGCCAATACGGTACATTTTTTTTAAACAAAGTTTTGTTTGGTGTCTACGTTTCTCGGGTGTTAACATTATTCAGTTAGTTTTGAACCTGACTAATTACACGTGACTTGATGTTATTAAATGGGAGCGTGAGGGAGGGGTTGTTGAGAGTAGGTCTAATTTTCATTCTGTGCCTACTTTATTTGCCAACCGGTGAAGAAGCTCGGGAAAATAAACAGACAATGAGGAATGTATCAGTGAAAATAGTATATTCCAAAAGTGTGATGTTAACAGATTACATGCGGGTGCTAAATATTTACTTGGCAACGGTCTTTTTTTTTTTGTCTGTAGTACAACTAATACAAAAGTGACTTGTATAATTGAGATGTTGAAATGCAGGGCCTATCGCTCATGAACTTTTCACAAGTAATGCACTCGTTACTAATGGGAGCATCAATTTACATGCTTCACACAGCAGTTACATTAACAGCAAAATGAAGACATATGAGGTGCAACAAAACAACACCCAGCTTTTTTGGGGTTTTTTTCCATCTTCCAAAACTTGTGCTCCTTTTTCTACCTTTTATAATAAAAAGGAAACAACTGAAACCTCAGACCTTTTTAAAACCACATGGAATTATAAGGTTTAGGTTACCGATGCAAGCATGTTATGTGGGTCATTCCAGAATTGGAGGACATTTTGGATTCAGAATTCGGGAAAATGAAACCATCACTTTTCTGCTCCATATTCATCAATAACAGATAATAAACGATCAAAGGCTTGATTGATCAATGGTATGATTTTTAGAACATGATTTATTCGGTGTTTACAGTACATATCATTGTAATCGTAGTAACGGGGTTGCAAATCAGGTCGAACGTTAGCTTTCCGGAGTTGAGGCTGGATTTTTAGCTAGCAGTCATTGCTGTCGAAGAGGATGAATTTTCTTCTGTAAATAGGTAAAGATTTTTTTTTTATGTGAGATTCTGATCATATGCATAACAGAGTTGCATGAGTGTGAGTATATCATGTGATTCACTGCTTTCCTCTTCTTTTACCATGCTCAAAGGTTTATGCTAACAAGGTTGTGTGCACGTTTGGAGACACGTTCCATGAATAACCATTATGATTTAAAATATGATTTATTTTTAAAAATTGTTCCACAATTATAAAAGACAACAAAGAAATAGATAATATTAACCCTTTCATGCACCCCGTAGCCTGATAACACAACGACCTGTCCACTGTAGTAGCCGCTATGCAAAGGGTTAAAAGAAAAAAAAAAAATTTGAACTTCATTTTTGATTTGATCATTGGGGGTGGTGGGACAAGAAAAAATTCTAGGGGGTGCTCCAGACTTATTTGGTACAGTTTTAAAAACTTTTTTATACAGTATATATATTTTTTTAATTTATTTATTTATTTTAGATTTGGTCTCCGCACAAGTAAATTTACTCATGTACTTAAACTGCTTTATTTTGCATTGTGTATGTGGATTATTTAAAAGTTGATGGGTGGGATGTAAAATATCCTCCAATTTTGGGATGATCCGGATACATTTCACAACTAACGGTGTTGAGGTTGCTAGCCACACAAAATAAGCACAAAAACGTTTCTGGGTTAAGAATTAAAAAATAAATGTAAATTAAATAAAATAAAAACAAATATTTTCTTACTTCTAGTGGGAAATTAACACGGGTATACTGGTTAACATTAACAACCACAACTAAAAAAAGTCGACAAAGAATAGTAAAGTACAAAAATGACATTGCATTCACATTATGTAATTCAGTCTTCTGATGTAATTCAGTCTTCTGAAGTTTCTTCATCTGCGTTGGTTTGATTGGTTTCTTTATTTTTTCGCACCTCCTCCAATTTTTTATCCTATCAAGAAAAAAAAACATTAATCCCAATATCTTGGTGGCAAAATATCAATAAAAAAAAAAGTGTGACAATTACTTTCTCCTTGAATTTTTCATTCATCGCCGCCATAATTGCTGTACGTTTCCCTTTGTTGGCTTCCATTTTTTGGTTGAGTTTCTCCTCAGCCATCTTGCTGAAATTGTTGTTCTCTTCCATAGCTTTCTGCAGCACTTCTTTTTCATGCTCGCGTTTTTCTGCTAAATGCTTCAAAACCTCAGCTTCATGGTTCTGGAAAAAAATATATACATAAATGTTATTCCTACCTCATTCTTCCCATGGAGCATGTTCCTTTACAAATAGATAACTGGACAGGTTATTATATTCACAGAACATTGGGACACATTTTGATCAATATTTTTCTCTCATTTTTGGACACTACCCTGGCTTAATGTATACTTCAACAACTAAATGAAGCAACCAACTTCTACCTTGCGTCTTTCTTCTGCAGCATCCAGCTTCCTCTGAATTTCCTCCAATGAGACATCCTTTTTCTTTGGAGGGGCCAAGGGGAAGTCACCCTTACTGTCCGGGGTCGGATCACCAAGAATGACCTCAAAGGCTTGGCCAGAGGCCCGCTTGTCAAGTTCCTTGACCTGAATATCTATAGATAAAAAATAAAATCAGCAAATCAAAACATTTCAGTCATATGATGAATAAAAATAAATAAATAATAATCTCTAACATATTCACCTTCGGAGGCTGCCATCTTAAAATGCTGCTTGTTGATTTACCTTAAGAGGATCAAAAGTAGAAAAATGTTTGGATTAATTCGTGATCACTCCAAGTGCTGTCACGACGAGACAAACCAGCAAATCTTTGCACAGTGGCGACACCCCATGGCCTTCTACAAAACTGCACCCAACCACCGCCCATCTCCAAAAAAAAACAAAAAACAAAAACGGTCCGGCATCAGTCATCAGCAATCACCCACATTGAGTACTATTTGATTCTATTTCGACAAGATGAAGCCCACGGGAATGAGCAGATATTTAAACTGCATTTTGTGTGGCTAAACGATGATGTGTGAAAACAGCTTTCTCGAGCGATAGAGGCACCGGCGGGAGATGGGAACAATAACATATTACACAATACGGTAATTGTGAGAAAACAATATATCATCTCAGGGAAAGAGGTGGGGTTGGGCTCGTATCGTGAATATGATGGCGCAACCGTTTCCTGCGATTAAATTGTGATTGGGGAGGGATGCTCGCATGCTAGGTCGCATATGAACAATGTAAAGCTCTCAATAAAAAAATATATAGATGTACACAAAAACATACATGTGTGCGCGTGCGCGTACGAATGCGTGTGCGTTCATACACACACACACACACACACACACACACACACACACACACACACACACACACATCATCCCCCACCCAATTTTTAGTCCGTGCCTTAAAAAGCAGACTAATTACTTGACATGAAAAGCAAACTCATTGCACACCTCAATTTCGTCTCATGACATCAATTTCTTCTCATGACCCCATTACGAAAGTGAAAAGTGAATGCTGACGGCGTGCAATCGCTGTTGACGGTGCCTCTTTTACATGTACCGTTATTAATTTTTGTCGTGGCCTGAACAACAATGTTGGGGTTATGTTATTCTACAGTGGTGCTGATTTTTTTCCCCTCCCTCACTCGGGAGCACAGGCTTGACAATCACCATCAAACAAAGACGCCTTGACGGCGCTGTGATGAGCAGCAGCAAACAAAAGACCGACTCACATCAGGGATAAACAAGTCGTTCGCGTTCCCGTGGCGAAAGTGATAACGGAATAACATCGCTCACATTAGGATTTTTATCGAGAATCAGAGACATCCAGTTTTGATTTAACCAAATTAGCCTTCGCCGTAAAGACTAAACACCAAGCAATCGCGTCGCTACAAAGTGCACACAATGAAGCCTTTCACAAAATACCGCCTGTACGGACAACAACTTGGGCATTTTCATGATACATCGCTCATATTTAACACTGGAATAAGCACCCAGACATTCGATTCGCAACACTACAGCAAAATAAAATGTTTGGCTGAGAGTGCAATTCGGCAATAAACATAATTTTGGGCATCATCTCTTGAAACACCATGAAAGCAGGTTTACGCATGTACTTACAAATATGTCCCGTACACTGTGACAAATACGGTTTGTACCAGGTGTTGCTTTGACTGAACTATATCGCACTAGTCTGGCTCTGGCAGCGCGCACAAAAAAACTGAATGTTACGGCCAATGTCGTCATCTCGGTTGCGCAGCCATTGGTTGGTCAGAATCATTGTGTGCAAATGCGTAAGGCGAAACGACTCATTTGAAGTGACTTCATTTCACTGTGATTAAAATGGGCTAAACTGACATTTCCCCGTTTTCGCTTCACATCATTAATGATCAGAAAAGAAAGGTAATTTTACAAGTCATTTCATCACGTCCAGGCGACGTGATTTTGATTCTGTTGCTCGCTCGATTCCTCAATGTTGATATTCATTTAAGGTACTGTATTATACAAGCGTAAAAAAAATGTGATGTCTTCATGCAGCATCCCATTTTGCTCTCTGACCAAAACACTATGATCAACAAACGCTGATAATTTTTTGAAATCAGCGATGCAAGTGAACTTCTAGAATTTTCTTGGGCTGATTCAGAATGCCCTCGTTTTTTTCCCTCACGTCACGTTTTCGTTTTCGTCATCGTCATCATCATCATCATCATCATCATCATCGTCATCAGCGTTCCAGAAAATGGATGGGTAGAATAATAGCATTTAGTATAAAAACAATAATATGGGTTAAGCAGTTGGGAAAATGAGTTAACTAAGAAAATATAATAATCACAATTCAATAATGTACGAATATACTTAGTAACATTTATTAATTTAACATTAGGCTCAACAACCGGTGTTTTTTTTTCCCCTGAAAAATCTGCCATAAATTACAACACATGTAAAAATCCATATTGTGCCAGCTCTTATAGGTCAAACTGAAAGAAAGAAAGTAAGAAAAAAGAAAATATCTCAGAAAGCAGTACTCGAAAAAAGTTAAGACACTTTTTTGAACAGTGTCAAAATACTCGACATTTAAGGAGGGGCAAAGCCAGAAATGTTTCAATCGGCTGGCCGGATTGGAACAGCATCTTAGTGAGGGGTTGCCGTGCGTGCCTCCTTTTATGTGTGCATTTAATTTCATGAAAGCATGACTGTGGATGGTTTGAGAAACAATTACTTCTCAGCCATGTTTGCTTGCTATGTTGTGAAAGTACAGGTAATTGTTTTTGATTAACACTGACTGTAAGAATTGAATGTTCTTTACTTAAGAGATTATAACTACGGTTGTTTACTTAAAACGGATGATTTGTTCGGCTTTGCGAGAGATGAGCACAGGACCCACACGCAGACACAATGAACTCAGAACGCTTTTATTGCCAGGAAGTGGGACAGGTCGAAGTGGCAGGAACTGAAAGGGAGTCAAAATGACCACGCCGAGGAGTAGAGGAATGCTGGAGTGTAACGGCTTGGCAGAAGCGAGTACGGCAGGAAAGATCGCTGACGAACTGGCAACAGCTGGCTGTTCAGGCTGGCTTTCATGCTGCAAGTGACTGACGAGATGAAGACTAACAGGTGTATAGGGGACGCAGGTGCACTAATTAGGGAGACGCCGAGCCCACGCTGAAAAAGGGAACAAAACAAAAGGGAGGGGCGACAGCCTGCACAAACAATGGATTCGAATATTATTGTACAGTTTGGATTCTGATCAATTTACTCATTAAATATGCAGTTAAAAAACTGTGGCGGAGTGTCAAGGGGTCTAAGAATATGCTATTGCATATATCTGGAAATGTCTGACAATCGCAGATATCAAAATTTTACCCTAGATGGGGTGGCCAGGGATGAGGCCACAGATTGAGAAAGGATGGCCTTGGCCACCCCTGGCCACCTCGTAGCTACGCCTCTGAGTTGACAGACTCATAAACCCATCTCTGGTTAAAAGTTGCTGTCGACCAGTGTCATTTTATTTACAACAGAGAAACTCATTCAAGTTTTTAAAAAAATATTATTAAGGTACTATGGTTTTCCTGCACGGCATTCCAAATCGGGAAAAAGTACGACTCACGTTGTAGTGTATGACTGTATAAGTTTTATACACGAGATCTTATACTATAAAATCTAGTGTAAGCACAAGTAAGACATGTTTGTGGTGATTCAAACTACAGTGAATACGGATTCCAACCCCCCCTCCCCCTTGTTTTTCATGGAAGATGTAATGTATATTGAAAGTTGATCTAAGTTTTTTGAAGAATGCTTTCGGTTTGGAAAAAAAAAAAAAATTAAAAAGGGACATGTTATTATTATACAATTAAGTGGCCACTTAGAATGTGGTCGGCCCATGGGCAGTTGCCCATCTCTGCTATTTACTGTCTTGTATACTAGTATTGGACTCGTAGATTATGTGTCCAGGTTGATAAAATTTTCGGTCAAAATCTCGATGTATTTATTTAATTCAGGAAAAATGAAACTAGGTTTTATCAGTTGTCTTCTGTTCAGGAAAAGCGGTGTTGAAAATGGATGAATGGAAATCAGTCAATAATTGACAAATGCTGGACAAATACTCATTTTTGTCAGGGACCATATCATAGTAATGGTTTCCTTTGGTAACAAAAATGATTGACACGTGGAGTATGGCTCCCAAAAATGCAGACTCAGATTAACCGTGTTCCAAAAAAAAAAAATATTGATTCAAAAACGAAGTACCGACAAAGCAGAAACAGAAATCGCTGACAACAACAGGCCAGGAAAACCAGATACGAACAGAAAGCGCTTGCAAACTACAACGTAAATTTGACAACCGAATGCGCTCAAAACAAAATGGCAAGAATCTAAACACGAAACATAAAGTCGTCCAAAATGACGTGAGAACCAACATACTTACCAAACAAGAACCTTGCAAAACAAGAGTGTTAGGTTGATTGTTTTTTAGTTATCTTACCTTTGCAAATTATTAATAATAAATTGATTATGCTTGCAATGAAGAACGCTTATGCTTTTAATAAAGATATGCCCACATCTCTGATAAAGAATGCTAAGTGGTAGTGGGAGACAGGCAAGTGGAAAAAATGATGGTGAGAAGTTACCGTATTTTCCGCACTAAAAGGTGCACTGGATTATGAGGCGCACCTTCAATGAATGGCCGATTTTGTAATTTTTTTCATGTATTGCACGCACTGGACTATAAGGCGCCATCTACAATGCATCCACTAAATCAGGGGTGGGCAATCCCAGTCCTGGAGGGCCGCTATCCTGCATGTTTTCCATCTGTCCCTTCTCCAACACACCTGATTTAAATGATCAGATCATCAGCAAGCTCTGTCGAGGCCTGAACAATTGTAGATGGAGCTACAGGTACGTCTTTGTCCGTCTCCTTGCCTTCTCTTCTTCCGTTAGACTGGAGAGGCGTTCATGACCGCCTCTCAAGTCGAAAACGTAAATTAACGATTACTTCAATGAAACTACGAAAAATACAGTAATACATCAAAACAGAAAATCACAAAATAAATTCAATAGCCCCCCGACAGAATTTATTTTGGCATTTGCTTGAGCGTAGCTGCAACAGAATGATCAGATGTCAGTAAATTGGAGGAGACTGGACTGTCTCATAAGTGTTTGTTATTTATTCCTTTCTTGTGTACTGTAGTCAAAAACGAGGAAATCACAAAATAAATTCTGTAGTGGGGCTATAGAATTTATTTTGTGATTTCCTCGCTTGATTTTCTGTTTTGATGCATTATTTTAAATTTTCGTTGTTTCATTGAAGGAATTGTTAATTTACGTTTTTCGGAGGTGGTCATGAATGCCTTTCGAGTGGAATGGAAGAAGAAACCGAGACAGACAAAGATGGACCTGTATTTGTTGAGACTGTGAAAACCATTAATAAAGTGTGCGTTTTAAAAAAACAACACCAGAGCTCTCCTTTTTTCCGAGCTGCAACAAAAACTTATTTTAATAAAGCAGCGACACAGTTCACTGAACCAACAGCAAGTTATAACATTGTAAGCATGTCTCCAGCAAGGAGCCATCTTGGGATCGACATATTACCGTAATGACCATACACAAGGCGCACCGGATTTTAAGGCGCGCTGTGCCTTATAGTGCGGAAAATACGGTAAGTTGAAGAGGGAAGTTGAGAATGTCGAAAAAGGGAACAGGCAGGTGAGGTTGGACACAGTGATGCTACGAAAAAGGGCGTCATCATGTGTTTCAGTCGAAAAGAGCCAAAAGGTCACGGGATGTTTCGAAAGTTGTTTGTAAGTCAGAGACACTTTTTGTTTGTGTTAAGTTGGTAGGGTGATGGTAGTGAGTGGACGAATTAGGGAATTTGTTTATTTTCTGGAAGAAGATAGTTAAGTATAAGTGAACAGTGAAGGCCTTGATTTGGATGACGCGTGAGGGTTACATGTCTGCTGGTTTTCATTATTTGCATTATAACTGCCCATGTTGCACTGATGTTTGCCAGAATATTCCGATCGTATTACATTGTTTTATAGATTACATTCACAAGCTGCACATTTCTCTCGAAATATGAGAAGAACCATCGTGACTGCTGATGTAGGAGAGATGATGGTCTTGTGTCATGAAATTGTGTCCAGTTACAACTTTGCGATCATTAGGTTGTGTTGTGCCTTCCCTCGTTATGGAATTTAATGACAAGAGTTAAAGGTACGGACTACCAATCGTGTCGTCAAACATACAAATTCATGTTGGTCTGAATTACACAAAATTTTATGATCTCAAGTCATGTCTCATTTGTGCATACGCGGGCTGGATTTCTCAAATTAGTTCAACACGAGAGGAGAATCTTCCAGCTTTATCGATGTTTATGTTTCGGGGTCACGTGTGGGCAATTTGAAGTTGACTTTGTTAATTTAGAATGACTGCATGTTTTAAGGTCAGCAGCGGCATTTCTGAAAACCACACCCGAGGTGGTTACCAAGGTTTACCAAGGTCAGTAAAAAGACATTGAATTAAAAAGTAAATAAATAAATAAATAAAAATGCTGGGCAGCCCGGTGGACCAGTGGTTAGTGCGTCGACCTCACAGTGGAGAGGTACCGGGTTCAATTCCAGCTCTGGCCTCCCTGTGTGGAGTTTGCATGTTCTCCCTGGGCCTGCGTGGGTTTTCTCCGGGTACTCCAGTTTTCTCCCACACTGATAATTTTACAGTTTAACCCCAGCGAGTCCCAGGGACTCGCTGATCAGAAATGTACGAGTCCCATTATGCATTTAGAGAGTCCCAAATTTCGAATTCTGAAATGGTCTACTTATTCAATTGCATATGATAATAACACAAACAACAATATCCATTGATAATAGGTTTATTTCTTACAAACAAATGCTGCAAAAATTTAAATAATTCGGGCATATACGATATGCTGAGAAATAGGTTCTTATTTCATCCCATGGTTCAGTCTTTGAGTTCATAAATTCTCCTCTCTTTACTCTGCTTCCAATGATGCAAGGCTTTCTCGAAGTCAAGTTTTTATCACGATCTCGCCAATCTCGTCTCGCGAGAATGGAAATCTCGTCACGCGAGATTACTTAACACGAGATCAAAACAACAATGGCGGCGATTGTCGAACTGCGACACTGCGTTGCTGGAAAAAAAGATGTACCATCATTTTTTTTTTTTTGTTTTGACCGAGAAATTTCATTGCGTCCCAAAAACGCACATTATTTGGAACTGTGCGTCCGGCGGGAAAATTATGCGTCTAAGACGCGGGACACAGAGGTAACGAGATGACTGCCACATTCCAAAAACATGCAAGGTAGGCTGATTGAACACTCCAAATTGTCCCTAGGTGTGAGTGTGAGCGCGGATGCCGGATGGTTGTTCATCTCTGTGTTCCCTGCAACTGGCTGGCAACCGGTTCAGGGTGTCCCCTGCCTACTGCCTGAAGACAGCTGGGATAGGCTCCAGCACCCCCCGCGACCCTTGTGAGGATAGGCGGATCGGAAAATGAATGAATGAATGAAAAATGCTCTCCACGCTCACTCGATGTTTTTTTTTAATGCAATTTATTAAATTCCAGTTATGAAATGAAGTGATCGAAAAGCTAACCGGTTTTTCAATGCCTACCGCGATGAACATGTATTTCTTATTTAACTTGGTTTTCTTCCTGAATACTTTCTCTTATCACCACAATGTGTACACCCGGTACATGTCCATCGGCATCCAACTCCAGCCCCCGAACGCCTGCGACCTCCATCCTCCGCTGGACGATACCAGCCTCATCTCCACCTGACTCGCCGGTCAGCTGTACCGCCATGACTTCACCTTCTTCAACTGAATGTGGCTTGATCTCGATGACTGTGTGCTCCTGGCTGGCCTCCACCTCTCCCTGCATTAACTTCTGCTGCACCAACATGGCGCCATCCAGCACCTGTGCCTCGATGGGTACTGCTTCTGTGCACACAGCTTGCTGGCTCAGGTGTAGCAGCTCGACAGGTTTGACCATTGTACTCAACCGGCTTGAGTTATGCACGGGACTAGTATCCACCAGTGTGAGGTTGGAAGACGTGTGTAAGGTAACACTGTCAGCTTTTCCGTCTCCAGTCACCATGTTCCGTGTGAAGACCTGTGAGCCGGTGGGGAGGAGAGTGACAGTGCTGGATGACTGGGCGAGGGATGTGATCGGTAGCTCTGCCACAGCAAATGGCTGACCCAGAGATGATAAGGAAATTGGGGACAGAATGGTGAACTGTGGAGGTGTCAGGGCAGGATGGTTGATGCTCGACGTCAGGAGGGTGGTGGTAGTAACGGGCTTCTGCAAACGGGGTCGCTTTGTTTGCCGTTTGATTGTGGTCATGCTTTTGGAAGGGTGTGGGCATGACAGGACAGCTTGACTCTGTTGCTGCTTTCGCTGTTCTGCCAACTGTAACTCCAGGTCTACAGACAACAAAAAAGATTGGAATAGAAGAAATGAAATGTGTCACAAACAACCAATTAAAAACCAGTTACAATGTCCACTTTGTTATTACTTCCCATCATCGTATCCTAATGCAAAGTGCAAATTGGAACTCATCAGTGATTATGTATCTTCCAGTCTTAATAATACTGTCAAGAAAACCAAGCTTTTTTTCAGATTAGCATCACTGGCAATGTAACTGCTCATTCTAAAGATTTGAAAGGGGTTCTGCGTTGGGACATAAACACCAATCGCAGGGAGCGAAACATTGAAATGAAAACTATCTCCAACCAGTGTACTTTGTACATGTGTATTATCAAGCTAGCTAGCTAGCTCGCGAAATAGTTAGCTAGCTAGCTAGCTAGCTATCGTCGGGCAAGTTTCTTCCATCATGTAATATATAACACAATCACACAATATAGTGAACCCTCGTTTATCGCGGGGGTTATATTCCCAAAAGAACCCTCGATAGGCGGAATCCATGTAGTAGTAGTAGACCAATGTTCAACAGCCTTTCTTGCCCACACGACCGTCGCTGACGAACACCCTTTTTTGGTTAAAAACAATGACAAAAATAAGAAACCGACGCTCTTGCCATATGCACCTCACGTTTTCGTCTCTTTCATCAAACTGAGGTTAACTCTTAATCAACATTAACCACTTCCTGCAACCCTCAAATATAACAGTCGGGGTCACAATTAGCTAAATAAATGTGGAGTCTTGAGCTAATAACATAAATTGCCATTTTACCATCGTGTACAAAGGTACATTATTTTAATATTCCCATCAACTGAGAATCATAAGAGTTCCAGTCAGCTTTATATTTTTACAATTATTATTCAATACAATACAATACTGGACTATGGAATGAAACCAAAGATGAAAATCTGTTTTTGTTGGAAACTTAAATTTTGGCAAGCTCTACAGGGACTAGGCGTGGAGATTGTTGACATTGGTCTACAGTTCAATAGCCAATCAGGATGCAGAACACAATGCACTGTAGGAAAAAAAAAACAACCCCAAAAAAATAAATGCACAAAACAAATCCGTGAAACAGCAAAGCCGTGCAAGGGTTTACTGTTTTGCTGTCTGTGTCATGTGCTACTCAAGTCCAAGGTACCTTTGTGTGACTTTTTTTTTTTTTTTTGGGAATTAATTTCTTGAATAATGATTTCAACACTTGATAGAGAAATCTATGAACAAAATTGTATCATGTTTAAAGTTTCGTTTAATTTGGGCATGTCTGGACATACTCAGCGCAGAGGTGTCGGCCGTTTGGGCGGAGGGCCTTTTCTTGAGTAATCACGTCAAAGCAAGGGGGATGAACAGATGGAAGAAGGCGAGATTCAATCACAGAGTGGGAATAAACAAATTGGGAACAAAGAGTTGTTGAATACCAAAAGACAGTTTGGGAACAGCTGTCGCGCCCAGGCGGACATTTGTCATCAGCAAAGTCTGTGACTTGTGTATTCGGGTAGATCAGATCACTACCGAGGGGCCGGACCGGGGGACGCGGTATGCAAATCTCGGGGGCAGTGTCTTTCTTGTATTTTGCAATAAAAGTTCGAACCGGCGGAGAGGGAGCCGAGAGTGTGATCATCGGAGCAACTACCGTCGTTCGCTCTCAGAGATCCCCTCCCGCCGATATTGAAGACAATTTTCCTGTGTGCCGAGTCATTTCTTTAACTTTGTCCGAGAAAATCTCTGACACACAGAAAGCCAGTATTGCGGAGAAAGCAGCTGCATGTGGTAGACAAGAATAACGGAACAACCACAAAAAAACAATGGAGACAA